GCTGAAAGCTGCAGCCCCACACTATCCCTTGCCCTCGTTCAGGCTGTCGTTGAAGACCTGGTATTTCCGTGTTAGTTCTTCTAATTTGGTGGCTGCAAAAGAAAGAAAAACACAAAAGCCAAGTGAGCGAGAGGTTCTGGGCCAGAAGAGGCAGGCATCATGCCGGGTCCCCTCAGGGACGACAGGGAGGGCCCCATGTTCACTGTGACCTGCAGAGAACTGCTGAGAGCACTTCAGTGCATCCCAGGCTGCGTCACACAGACATCAAGGCCCTGGCCAGGCCTCGCTGACCCCACCATTCCCACCTGCCATCGCAGGATCCGGAGGCTGCCCGGACTTGGATGGAGGATTCTATGTGAACCACATGGGAACATCCTCGGCGGCATGGGACAGTGCTGAGGCAACTGCTGTGACCCGGCTTCCCAGGCGCATGGTGCCCATGGAGCGAGTCCCTTACCGTCCATCACACCGGCTTCTTCCGCTCCCCTCCTGGCTTGTCCTTGCCCATCCTGACTGTCCCTTCCCTCCTACAGCCCCAGGCTTAGCTACGCTGACTTCACTGGCGAGGATATTGACAGTGACCTGAGCTGCAGTGACAGCCCCAAGTCAGCACCCTCTGCCCACCCCAAGGGTGGCTCTGGAGTGCAGGACTCATGGGGTGTGCCCCAGGGACCGCCCCACACGTCATTAGTGCCATCCTTTATCACATCCCGGGCGCTTCCAGCAGGCCACAGTGCCACTCCGAGGCCCAGCATGGCTTCCTCCTGCCAAGCTTCAGCCCAGCCCCTGGGCCCTGGCACTGCAGGTGGCAGCAGACTGGGACCGGGCAGTACCCTTCAGGCTCCGGTGAGTTCTGGATTTGGAAGGCGGGGTCTGGCCCAATTCAGCTCTGCTGGCGCAGCGTTTCCTTCCTCTCACCCACAGGACTGAGCGCCACTTGGCCCTCGGCTCCTGTGTCTTCTCCCTCTGTTCTGAGAGACTGGTAACCGCACTCTGCTTTCCTGGGCTTTCCCAGTTGTCCCGGTGTCAGCAGTGGCACACCGAGCGGCTCACAGGATGTGTCTGAATATTCCCTGGGTCACAAATTCAGGTCTTCTCTGCACGGTGCCCCCTGTGCCCCATCTGCCCTGGGTGGCAAGCGGAGCCATTTCTGGTGGGGCCCCTCCAAGAGGGGTTTGGAGGACAGGTGGCGTGGAGGGCAGGGCAGAGCACTAGGCCTCAGTTTGGGGTTTGGCCCCTCTGAGACCAGGAAGACATTTGTGTGCATCATTTTCTTCACAAAAAAGCAGGCAAACACCTGCCAGACCCTGTTCCCCCCAGCAGACCAGCCCCCCACTGCTCCCCATTCCCCCAGGCACTGCAGCCTCCCCATACTCCCACCTTCCACTCCTGTCTACCTTACAGCAGCCACCCATGTACAAGGAAGGGGAGTAAAACCCTAAACTCCTCCAAAGTCAATCTGGAAAGCAACCTACATGTCCATCGACAGACAAATAAATAACAAAACTGAGCTCCTCTGGTTAGTGTGGTGGTGCACGCCAATAAACCCAGAGCTCAGGAGGCCGAGGCAAGAGGATTGCCATGAGTTCCAGGCTAGCCTGGACTATACAGCAAGACCCTGTCTCAAAAAACTAAAGGGAAAAAAATAATCTCCTTTGGTAAGCAACAACAGCAAAAGCTTTCAGTGGAGGCCCACTCATTGCTCCCCAGAGTTTGGAGCAATCTTCTCTGAGAGATATGCTTGGACCTCCTCGCCACCTTTCCACAGAACCCTAAAGGCCCAGGGAAGTGGGCTTGTCAAAGTGCAGCCACGAACAGCTGCCTCCCAAGGGGTCTGCACGGATCTTTTCCATATCCTCCAAACTGCAGGAAAAACCCAACTGCTCACCCTGACTGTGTGAGTCCCCTCCAAAATGCCCCTGGCTACTCCCCTTGATCTAAATAAACTCTTGCCTTTTCCACATTCCTTATCTGCTGGCAAAATTCTTTTCTCCACCACCTGTGTCACCAGCCCTCCACAGTAAACCTCCGCCGTGCCGGTGCCACCCATGCCCTCCCCCACTCTCACAGGACAGACAGGGCCGCTGCACCTTGTAAATGTGCCCACACACCTGTGGGGGCTTGGGACCCATGGGACCTGGGACTCTCACTGACACGGTCTGGCTGCTGACACTCAGACAGGAGGAGGTGAAATAGCACAGAAACACGGAGGGCTGCAAGATGGCCTTCGGGAGTGGATTCTAAATCAGAGCAACAGGGTGAAGGACATTCCACATACGGTGAGGCCATCATCACTATACAAAGCCAAGTGGAAAGGTTCTATTTTCAATCCTTCATTTGAATCTGGCATGGTTCACAGGACCAATCAGAAGATGCTCTTTTTAATCCTTCATTTGCATGTAAGCACAGCCAATCAAAAGGCACTGTTCCTGATTCTTCATTTACATATGCCAGGCAGCCAAGTTTTTCTATAGGACAGTTTGTATGAGGCGATGCCAAGTGAGTCACTGATAGGACAACTGTCCCAGTACCTTATTTGCATGAGAGGGAGATAACCCAGCAATTCTGGATACAAAAGACCACTTTCCCGTATGCTCGGGGTTCTGTGATCCTTTTCACCTGCCCGCTCTTGCTCTGTAGAGCTTTTCCCTTTTTCACCCTCAATAAATGTACACCTTCACTGCCTTTTCTGTGTATCTTGTCCAATTCTTTGTTCAGGACACCAAGGACTTAGAAAGAAGCCACATGGACACTCCATCCAGTAACAATCTGACACTGGCCCCGTTTTCTGGGTATGCAGAGAGCCTAAGGATTTGTCTCAAAGCAAACCAGGAAACTGCATCGACTAGAGTGCAGGGGGCTCCAGGGCAGGCAGGGCTGTCCCCAGAAAGGTGTCTGTCTGAAAAGCTGGACCTGCTGCCAGCCAAACTGTGCCCTGGTCACGGTGACTTGAAACACTGTCAAGAATATTAATGGTCATTATTGTCATAATAGAGGGTGGTTGATACACAGTTCATTCCCAGCAATTACACAGAGGATTCAGCTGCAGTCCCATCAGCAAGGCTCAGACTGAGCCATGTGACAGTCTCACAAGGGAGGGGGCAGACCACTACCTGGTGATGTGTTGGTGGAAAACAGTTACAGGCGGGTGTTTTAGCTACTTCTGCTTGAGGCAGTGGATAACAGTCTGGCAAATAGACTACCAAAGGGCTGGGGAGGCAACAATGAGGAGTTGTCCCCTAGGAAGTGAGAAGGCCACATGCAAGCCCAAGGCTGTGGAAATGGCCAGGAGAAACCCAGAAAGGCTCTGGGCTCTCACCAATGGTTAACCTAGAAACTGAGCCAGCAGGAAGTCAAGTAGAAGGAAGAGTTGTCAATTGACCAGTTGAGTATTGATGAAAAACAATAATCTAAAAAGTCCAGAGAGCGCCAATGAGATAAACTCAAAGACTCATTATAATCAAACTGTCCAAAGCCAGAGAACAACAGAATTATGAAAACAAGAAAGTGAAAATACCCATCCCGTGCAAGAATCCTTGGTATGATTAAAAGCTAGTTCCATGGCAGAAGCTCTAAAGAACAATGAAAGTAGGATGACAAATTAAAAGTTTAAAAGAAAAGAACTGTCAACCAGAAATTCCATACCCAGCAAAACTATCCTTCAAAAATAATGGCAAAATTAAGACACTTCCAGATGAATGAAAACCAAGAGAATCTGTCATTGGTGGACCTTCCCTGCGGAAAATACTAAAGGTGGTTCTCTAGGTTGAAATGAAAGAACACTAAACTGACAATGTGAAATAGGAAGAAAGGGGCTAAAGGTGTAGGGAAAGTGGGAAGGGTAGTGGAAAGCTAATAAGGGAAAAAAAATATGAGAAAATGAAAAAATGGAAATGAAGTGTTTGTAAAGGGGGAGGAGAGGAGGGGGTGACGGGAGGGCAGGGACAAGGGGAAAAAATGAGAACCAAGACCTGTCATGTAAAGGTACAAGATCCCAATAATGAATGCAACTGTACCGTATACCTAAAATGTACCAATAAACTCAATGAGGGAAAAAAAAGAAAGAAAGAAATGAAAGAACACTAGATAATAATTCCAGTCCACAGGAAGAAATACAGAACTCCAATGAAGATAACAATATAGGCAAATATAAAAGTGTGTAGAAGTGCATTTTTGTGACTCTTCTACTATTTAATTTAAAAGGCAACTGCATGAAACAATAATCAGAAGTCTGTTTTGATGGGAATACAATATATAAAGCTGTAATGTGTAAAAAATACTACAAAAAAGGAAAGAAAGAAAGAAGTTTTATTAGAGCAAAGCTTTTGTATTTTACTGAATTTTTTTTAATGTTTATTATTTTTTTGGTACTGGGATCGAACTCTAGTCCTTGAGCTTGCGAGGCAGGCAGCTACACCACTGAGCTAAATCCCTGGCCCTGTATACTACGGAAATTAACTAGGTACTAGGTTGTTCTAAGTTGCTAGCTGTAATCCTGAAGACAACCACTAAGAAAATAAAGAAATGATAAGGAAATTAACCACTTAACAGCTTACACCAAGTGTCACTCAGGCAATGCATTTGTCTCTATACTGACTTTCCCAAGTGTCACTCAGGCAGGTGTCATTTCAACCAGTCAATTCTTGTATTCAATAAATTTGATAAAATTGTCACTTTTATATATCCTGTTATATTAGCTTATAAAAATTAACAAAAATATACAATTTTTGGTCGTCCTGTATGTACACAACTGATAAGTGGTTAAAATGGTAGACTAGAAAATAGCTATGTAATACTAAAGAAGCAATAGCAGAAGGATTAAGATTTGAGAATTATAGAAAATAAAGAACAAAATGGCAGATGTGACTTCCACCACAGCATTAACTACATTAAATGTAAAATAATTTAAAAACCCTATCAAAAGATACAGATTGGCAGAATGGATAAAACAGGCTAGCAATCCCTCAGGAAGTTAAGCATGAAGTCACCATATGAGCCAGCAATTCGCCTAGGTGTAGACCCGAGAAGTGAAAACACTCACGTGCAGACTCATACCAATGCTCACAGCAGCATTACTCAGAACAGACATAAACAAGCCATATGCCCACTGAGGGATGATGATCATGGACTATCAATCCACACGACGGGAATTATTCAGCCATGAAGTGGCGTGCACTATGTGAATGAACCTTGAAGGCAGACGCTCAGTAAGAGGCCAGACATAGAAGACCATATATTGTATGTGTCTATTTACAGGATGTCCGGAAGAGATTGGAGCTGGAGGGACGGCAAGTGACTGCTAATGGTATGGAATTTCATTTTGGGGCGATGAAAATATTGTGGACTTAGTTGTGATAGTTGTACAACTCTGTGAATAGCCTAAAAAACCAGATTGCACACTTTTAAAAGGGTGAATTTAGCCGGGCATGGTGGCGCACACCTGTAATCCCAGCACTCAGGAGGCTGAGGCAGGAGGATCGCTGTGAGTACAAGACCAGCCTGGGCTACATAGTGAGTTCCGGGTCAGTCTCAACTATGTAGTGAGACCCTGTCTCAAAAAACAAACAAAAAATTAAAAAATAAAAATAAAAGGGTGAATTTGTTACATGAGTTATAGCTCAGTAAAACTATTACTAAAAATAGGGCTGGGGTGTGGCTCTGTGGTAGAGCTATTGCCTGCATGTGCAAGGCCCTGGGCTCAATCTCCAACACAAGAGAGACAGAGACAGGGACAGAGATGTGAGGAACAAGCTAAAGAAACTACCTTTACCTTCTTTGTTTGAGCTTATTTTGCCATTTGTTTTCTAATCTTCTAATATATGGTGAAAGTTCAAGGATAGGGAAAAAGAAAGAAACAGACTAGAGAACCCAGAGACCCACATATGTATGCATACTTCCCCTCCAAGAGGTGATGCTATTTGAAACTAATGAGGGAAAGAATAGATTTCCATTAAATGGTGCTAGGACACTGTATCCTCATAGGATAAACTGAAGTTGGACCCCCACAGGACATCATACACAAAAATCAACTCTGGAAAGATTACTAACCCAACCACAGACAGTAATGCTCTAAAGGTTTTGGAACACTGTATCACACTGGAGTAGGAAAGTCTACATTTGAATTAAAATCTACTAGCTGTACATTAGTAGCACATGCCTATAATCCTAGCACTCAGTAGGCTGAGGCAGGAGGATCACCATGAGTTGGACATCAGTCAGCCTGGGCTACATAGTGAGTTCAAGGCCAGCCTGAACTATATAGCAAGACCCTGTCTCAAAAAAAAGTAATTAATTAAAAAATTAAAAATTTAAAATCTACTATATACACAATGAGGTACTGCTCTGCCATAAAGAAGGGTGAGCTTCAGACATTTACAGCCAAATAGATGGACCTTGAGACCATACTCTTAAGTGAGATAAATCGGACGCCCATGTTTAAATGCCACATTGTTTCTCTGATGTGAGAAACCAAAAGTGGAAATAAGGACTGAGATGCATAATGGATGTTGGGAAGTGGGAAAGGGAATGAGGAGGAGGGAGGGAGAAAGGAAGGGACAAGGAAAAAAGTGAAAATAGAAGGAAAAAATGGAAACAAAGCTTTTGCGCACAGGGAGGAGAGGGGATTTGAGGAGGGAATGGGATAAAATGAAATGTATCCCAAAAAATCTACTATATATGAAAACACCACATAAAAGGTCTTCAGGGAGAGTGGGGAAACATGAACACCTCAGGACCCCTATAGAATATAAACAGGACTGCATATCCATGAAATAAGACAAACAAGCCCAACAGAGAACCAAGAAAAGCTCCAACAGGTACTTCAATGAAAGAGAAAACTTCACTGGTCAGTAGTGTATGAAAAGCTACAACCCTGTTAGAAATAAGAGAAATGCCAAAGACGAATGAAACACCTTTTATACCACCCAACAGGCACCAATTCGAAAGACAGACACAGCAAGGGTCCCCGGGACTGTGGCCATGCTGGAAGGAAGGGCCCCAGGGAAGCTGGCCACACGTGCACGGGGGCCACGGCCGACACGCTCATGCAGCGGTCCTCGCAGACCCGCACAACCAGGCAGAGCGGCACACAAAGCCGGCAGCACGCAGGCCAAGTGGCAGAACACGACGGGCGGGAGGCGACACACAGCAGACAGGGAGGAGAAATGTTCCCAGACAGCTGCGCTCACTCGCTCACCTTCCTCCACGGCTGCCTGCCCGCTGCCACAGCTGAGCTGCAGAGTGCCACAGATACCGCCGGGCCCACCGGGCTGAAAATATTTACTGCCTAATCCTCAACTTAAAAAGCTGGCAGACCTGTGCCGCATGGGAATGGGATGAGCAAATTACAAACAGTGCACACAAATGTCACAAAGAAACGATTGTCAGGTTGGGACAGCAGGGGGCCAGGGGCCAGGAAGCACACGTGGTAGCCGTGCTCGTTTCCCATCTTGGTTGTGGTGACCCAAATGCCCACTTTGAAATCACCTGGTTTGGAATAAAGCGATTTGACCAGAACCGGGAAAACATCCAAACCAGCTGGGTTTGCCAGTCAAGGCTCTCTTAAAATGCTCCTTTTCTTCTTTAAAAAAGACCAAACTTTTAAAATGTACATTTCTGCAGTTAAAGAAGACAGGAAAAGTTTAATTAAAATTAAGTTCAGAGACAGTTCTGCCTCAATCCAATAGCACAACTGAAAGGATCAAACCCAGTGCTGCTAAGTAAGACGGCAATCACGTGGCCTGATCGCCTGGTCCATTAACATGACACGGGCACACGTGCAAGGTAGGATGCTAAAATGAGGATAACGCGCTACGTCTGAACACGTTCACTGTGTCCTTTTGTCAAAGACGGATAACCAAGGGCAGAAACAGCCTCAGCGACAGACCAGAGAGAAAAGGCTAAAGAAATAAACTGGGCCACCTCTGATGCCAGTGCAGAGAAAAGCAATGTCCGTATGCTGGCTCATTTCCTTCAGGGATTTCATTCGCTTATTTGTTCCTTTAGAAAGGTGAGGTCGTACTGCTATTTTGTTTCCCAATCTGTATTTTTCCTTTAACATTTTACAATATGTCATCGTAACCAATGCTTTAAACAGTGGCTCCTGTCCTACCACAGTAAACCGTTCCTTAGAGAGCACTGCTAATGCAGGACTTAAAGTCATTTCTACCTTTTCACTATCATAAATCCTGCGTCTTGGTCACTTCCTGTCACTAGGACAAAACACCCATCACCCACAACATAAAAGAGAGATGTGGTTCATGTTTTCAGTACAGTTGGCCAGCTCCGAGGCGGAAACATCATGGCAGAAGGGCACAGAGGAGGAGAGCTGCTTCCCTGAAGGTAGCCAGGGAGCAGAGACTGAGGGAGACACACCTGTGAAATACACACTCCCAGACACCTGCCTCTTCCAGCCAGAGCCCCCACACTCGGCCCTGAGCTCATCCAACACCGATCCCCAGATGAGCACAGCACCCCATGAGCCAGTTACCTGCACGCAGCCCTGCCTCTGGCCAGGGAGCCTTTGGGGACTTTCTAGATCTAAACCACAACAATGCATAACAGCAAAAAACAGAACAACCCACAGACTCAGCAATGGCAACTAACGAAGGGGACTCATGCTTGACAGTGAAATGTATCACTAGGGCCCTGGGAATGCTGATAATGAGCCCAAGGGGACAGACGCGATGGAAAAGCATATGTATGTCAGGGTCACGCTTCCAAGTGACACAGTGATAGGAACGAGAACAGGAAACACCTCTATACCAACACCGACCACCTCTGGGCTGCAGGAGTGGGGATCCCTTTGGTTTTCACTTCTACACATCCCTGAGTCCCCCTACCTTCCTACCAGGGATCTTTTGCTTTTGGAATCCATGAAAAGCATTTCTTCCAGGAGAAGGAAAGCAGCAATTAGAAAAAGACTTCCCAAGGGCCAGCCCCCAAGTGCTCCCCCAGGGCCAGTGAGGCACCGAAAGATGAGACCATACCTGAGCCAGGCCCTAAGCCAAGCGGGTACTGCACCTTGTGACGCCAGGACACCAGCTGCGATCACGTACCTAGGCTCATCACAGAGCTGCTGCCATCCCAACAGATCGGCTCCTTCTCCTGTCTTTTCACCGCATCCATGGCCTCCGCAGAGGTACCCGTGACCTCCTCGACTGCTTTCAACAGCTGGCAGGAAGCAAGGGCATGTGTGGCACTTACCTGCAGGTGGCACCTCCCACTTCCCACCCAACCTCACGCTGAGTGCGTGACAGAGAACCATGGGCGAGGGCCAGAGCCCACGGCTAGCACTGCCAACACAACTCGAGGCTTTGTCATCCCGGCCACTGGGGTTGCCACACTATCACAGCTCCCTGGCAACCCTCAGTGCCTAGGGACATGGCAGCATGGCGTGCTATCCCACCCAAGTCAAGCAAATGGTAGGGCAGAACAAAATATGCAAAGAAAAAACCGCCTTTGCGCTAGGAACGAGGACTATGCCCTAACGGCCCCTGTTGTGTGAGTGTCACACTGGCCTGAGGTTGGGATGTCTTAGAGCCTTTCTGGTAAAAACCCAAAATAAACATACAGAACCCTTGAGCCAATGTCAGGATGTGCACATGGCAACACAGGGATCATAAGCAAAGCTGGCCAGCCCGGAGGATCTGAACCACAGAACAACGGAACAAGCAAACATTTACTTAGTCAGCTTAGCCCGCCTGGTCTGGGCTAGCTCACAGGCACAGACCCCCCATACGCAAGGCCAATTCAAAGGCAGGAGCTGGGAGCCGGGTGAAGGAGGCCCCGAGAGAGGCAGTGCACAGAGCCCTTCAGGGGCTCAGCTGATGCCCCACAGTGACCTCTTAGGGACAACATCTACATCAGCTCTCCTCCCTGCTACCACCTAGGCACCTCCCCGCACGCCACAAAATGTCTGCCGCAAGCTACTGAGAGCCCGGGTCAGAAGCTCAAGGCCCGGCCTCGACACACTGGCTCACTGGCTCGGGGAGCCCAAACTCATTCCAGACCTCAAGTCTCTGGGGTCCCCAGGTAGGTGTGAGCTCTTGGCATGGTGGAAAGGGCCCAAAGGGAGAGGAAAGGACAGCAGGGTCCTTACTTGGCTGCAGGAAGTGAGAGTCTGGTACACAGCCTGGACAATGGGGCCACATGGGTGGAGGTTGGGGTCCGGGTGCTGGCAGCATTCCCCCAGCTCGTTGTCATACACTTGGATGAAGGCCAGGACCAGCTGGTTGAAGTCAGAGATGACCAGGCTCAGCTTCTGCTCCAGCATGCTGGTATCGGCACCACCCACAGCCTCCCCAGCCTTGTGCTGCTCCAAGCTCTGCAAAGCCATCGGGGACAGTGATAGGCCACCCTGCCTGGCCAGCCCACATCTTCTACAGTGGACAGGCGAGGTGGAGACAGGAAAGAGGACCAGGGCAGATCAGAAACAATCAGGACATGATATACAATGTATAACAATTCCCCCAAGTGAAGGTAACTACTAAAGTCTAGCAAATGTACACTAATAAAACCTTTTAACTTTGAAAGCTAATAATAAGACCTAGCAGGCAGGCGGGATGCCGAACAGCAGCCTCCATAAGCAAGAGGCCAAGAGCCAGCCACACTGAGCTTCTAACCTGCTGCTCATTGATGCACACACAAGGCCACAGTCTCTGTCCCCAAAAGAGCCCTGCCAAAGGGCTGTCAGGAGCACTGCCTGTGACATGGCACATGAAGCATGGCACTTGGGGCTGACCCTCCCTCCCAGGAGAGCCTCCTGGCTCCTATCACAGGAAGCATCCACCTCATGTAACCCAGCAGGTAGGGATAGAGGCGTCCCTGCCCCAGGACTCAGAGTAGGGCCTGGACCTCAAGGTCCACAACCCCAGAAGCCAACAGCCTCACCTCGGCCCTGAGTGCCCACAGCTTGGCCGCACCCTCCTGCAGCTGCCTGGCCAGTTCCGCCACCTTCTCCGTCTCCGACTGGGCCACGGGATCAGCCCTACAGGGGAAGAAGGGGCACTTTGCAGCTCTCTCTGCACACATCAACCCTACCCTGAGCAGACAGGAGCGGCCAGGACTGCGGCCGTCTTCCACACCTACCCTTGCCAGTCGTCACCCTGGTTCTTGAGGACGGGCTGCATGTCCACGGGCCATGGGTCTGACTCGGGGTTCAGAAGCATCTCCAGCTGCACGCTGGAGAGGAACTCCTCCAGCAGTCCCTCATTCTTCTCGGCATCATCCTCGAAGTCCTCCTTCACACTGCAAATGCAGGTCCAGGCCCTGTCATCACAGCCGGGACACTGGCCCGGCAAGCCTGAGGTCCCATGCGGAAGACCCCAGAGGTAAAGGAGAGCCGGCAGAAGAGCACGGTACCGAACCCTACTGCTCTGCATCTCTCCCAGCCTCTGCTTGCTTTGGCGCCACTGACGGGGGCACCTAGGCACTCATTTGCTCTCCTCCAATGTGCCTGGGCTCTCTTCTCTGAAGCCCCCAGTGCTGACAACCCGGGACCTTGGGCAATGATCTGGGACCTCAGGACACCAGCCACTGGGTCACACAAGGGAGGGGTGTCCTGTCTCAGCCTGCACCTCTAGCTCCCGGACCACCATGTGACTGCTGCCACCAGAGAGGGATGGTGAGACCCCCCAGGAGATCCGTACCTAGGTCACAGGACAGCCAGGCCAGGGCCCCATGTGGGCTGCTGGGATCTTTACCTGGGGTAACTGGAGCATCCGACAGCCAGGCTTTGCACGGCATCAAGCATCTGGCCCATGAACTGCAGCTGCTTCCGGGGACTGACACCTCTAGCTCCCGGACCACCATGTGACTGCTGCCACCAGAGAGGGATGGTGAGACCCCCCAGGAGATCCGTACCTAGGTCACAGGACAGCCAGGCCAGGGCCCCATGTGGGCTGCTGGGATCTTTACCTGGGGTAACTGGAGCATCCGACAGCCAGGCTTTGCACGGCATCAAGCATCTGGCCCATGAACTGCAGCTGCTTCCGGGGACTGGCACAGCCCTGGGCAGGGAAAGCCACACATATTTGTGGCCAGAGCCAAGCAGGTCCCCTGCCCGGACTTCCCCCAGCTCCCCATCCATGCCCAGCAGCTTCTCCCCCAGGCTCATTGACTATGGCCTTGGGGACTGCTGCCACCAGCGCTCCCTGCTGGGCCCCACCTCAGGAAGGCACAGCAACACCCAGGACCACACTGGAATCCATACAGCTTAATGGGTGGGTGTGTGGCCCACAGCAGAGCCTGCTAAGGCAGAAAGCAGTGGTGGCTGTTCTAGCAGATCACCCACCCAGCCGGGGCACAGAAGCCACCCAGCTAGCACGACAGGCCCCTGGGGGTAGCCTGCTAAGCAGCCATGGACCCCAGGCTTCCAAGTAGCTGCTCTGGAAGGCTGATCCCATCTCCTACTGCCCACCTGCCTGAAGGTGTGCAGGATTCCCATGGGGCACTGCCAGGACACAAGCGCAGGGCAGTCCTTCCAGAAAGTCACTGGTTCCAGGACCCAATACAACCTGAGGAGCCATGCCCACCCCAGGAAGCCAAGGATGAGCAGGGCATCAGAGGGCCAGCTCTGTCAGCTCTCAACTTCACCTCCCCATCGGCCCTGCCCAGACAAGGCTGCTCAGAAGAATGCAACAGAAGGGAGTCACTCAGCTGGCAACTCCCAAAAAGGCCCTGCAAGAGGCCATTGCTCCAAAAGTGGGCACCAAAGGCACAGGAGGTTCCTAGGCAGAGGGGGACTTGGGGACAGCATGCTTCCTTGTCTGTGGTGCTGAGTGCCCAACTGCAGCTGCTGCCACTGCCCACAGGCCTAGCTACCGCCTGTGTGACCAGGTCCACCTCCACAAGCTCAGCCTGCCATTGGTTGATCTGCTTCAGGGATACCCTCCCAGGGCAGCCATGGGCTAGACGGTGGGACACTGTCTAGGCGGGAGACAGCCCACACAGAACCGTGACAGTGACCTCCCCTGGGACCTCACAGAGCTTCGACTGGGGGTCCAGGCGGGGACACCCCTACCCACTGTCACCTCCAAAGCAGAGAGCTGGCTCCCAATGCCCAGGATAGCCCAGCTGTGGCCACAGCGCTGACTCCCCTGGGCAGCCTCAGCCTGTCCCCCTCACCCTGTGAGCTCTCCAACACCACAAGTCTCACCACCCAGGTCCCTTCTACATGGCCAGGGCCTGACCACGACACGCCCCAAGGTCTGCTCCACACTGGGCCCCCGACACGGTGCCTCCCATCCATTTCCTGTCTGCTCCCCAGCGAGGGCACACCAGCACCCAGTGAGGCATCCATCATGCCCTCCCAGGCCCCCAACCCACCCACCTCTCTCCCAGCACCAGCACTTGAGCCAGCAGCTAGGCCTGCCTGGGTGCTGCACAGGGGGCCAGCGGGGCTCCAACAGCCACCCCTGCCTCACCTTTCAAACCCCGTGCCTTAGCCACAGCCACCTCTGCCATACTTAAGGGAAGCCGGCTTTGCGAGCCTCAGCAGCCGCCACTACCAACACCTCCACCAGTCTGGGCACCCCCCACACTACAAAGGGTCACATGATCCACCCAACTGCTCTCCATCTTGACCTGACCACTCCCTCCATTGTACCGAAGCCTAAAGTGACCAAGCACCGCCACCCCAGGGCCTTTCCACTCACTGGCCTCCAATGGCCTCTTTCCATCTGGCTGCACTGATACCTTTTGCTGAGCTGATTTGCAGACAATGCAATTCACCCTTTCCAAGTACATGGAGCAGTGGCTGTTAGGGTAGTGCAGCGCTGCACATGTTAGAACATCCCTAGCCTCTGAGAAGCAGCCCCAGACCCATTAGGAGTCGCTCCCTATTACCCCCTCCCACAGGCTGCCAAGCACCCTGATCCTTCCTGCCTTTGTGGACTGGCCACCTCTGGACATCTCCCATGGGAGGGACCCTATACTCTGTGCCTCTTCTGTCTGGCCACTTTCGCTTCACTTAGCGTCCTTGTCCTTGGGATTGCCCACGCAGCGGCACACACCTGTCGTTTACTCCCGAGTGCTCAAAATTAGTTTACCCATTCACCAGTTGAGGGACATCTGGGTTATTTCCACTTTCTGGCTATTAAATATCTGTTGACACTTATGTTTAAGTTTTGGTGCACATGTTTTCTTTTTTGGTACTAGGCATGGAACCCAGGGGTGCTGATCTACACCCCCAGCCCCTTTTAAAATTTTCACACAGGGTGTCACGAAGTTGCCCAGGCTGAGCTAAAACTTGTGATCCTCCTGCCTCATCCTCCCAAGTGCAGGGATTATAAGTGTGCACCACCACACCCAGCTTAGTGCCTAAATTTAATAAAGACCAAGTGATTTGTTTTTCCTTTTGTTGCTTTGCTTTTGGTGTCAAATAATGACTTTTTAAATATCCTTACAAACTCCTGGATTTTAGGACATGTGAAGGGCTGCCGTCTACTGCGGCCTTTGTGCCCATGGTATCGACGTGAGCCCCCTCTTTGGCCACTAAGGGTGCCTCCTGCTAGTTGGCTCCAGAGTCCCTCAGATGTCACCCTAAATTTCAGATGGCTGCCTTGCTCCCTGCTGGGACAAAGTGTTCCTGGCCCAACTTGCACATTTCCTCTGGCCTGATTACAACCAGGCACCCTTGTTCTAGGCAAGAGAATGTGTGTATCTTAGGAGTCTCAGGTTGATAATCCCGACTACAATCTGGGACGACAGAGCAAGAACAAATGGAACATTGCCATCTGTATCTTCTTCCCCTGTGGGAAGAGGGCAGTGGTCACCCAACGTCACAGAGTGCAGAACACCATTGAGATGATGCGGGGACAGGTCACGAAGGCCATCAGCGCCCATGGGAAACAGGAAATAGAAGTTGCTACTTGGCCGGGTACAAGGTCTCCTTTGTGGGGAGAGTGTTGGAACGAGTTACAATCAGCCATTGCTCAGCACTGGGAACGTACTAAATGTTGCTGAATTGACGCTAAAATGAGTTAAGCACAGAGTACAGTTTCAGCCTGGAGATAGGTGGTGGTAATGGCAGCACACCATGAACGTGCTCAATGCCACTGGACTATGCTAAAATGGCAAAGATGGTCAACTTTACCTTATGTACATGTCACGATTTAAAAAAACGTAAAAGAATAGAGCCTGCTGGGAAACTTTTAAAAGAGAGTTGAAATGGTAAATTTTATATTACGTCCACTTCACCACGATAAAAAACATGCAAAGACTAGAGTAAGGAAAGGGTCCAGCTGCAAGTGGGGCAGAGGAATGACACACATCCTTCTCTCCCACAGAAGGCCCAGGGCACAGCGAGTGCCAACAAGCAGGTGGGCAGGCAGGCCAGAGCCCCTGGCACTCACTGCCATGCTTCTCCCTCCAGCGTGCGCTGAGTAAACTCAGCCCAGACAGAGGCCCAGAAGGCAGCGCTGCAGAACAGACAGAGACCTCCAGGACAGAACCTCCCGTTCATTCTGCTCCAAGGAATAGAGAAGAGAACCTGGAAAGTGCAGAGAGAATAGGGGCGCCCCTGGCCTTGCCTCTTCTCTGTTCACTCAGAGCTTGCGGGGTAGCAACAAAAGCAACCAGGAAGAGAAAAAAACACAGGAGCCCAACTCCAATGCAGGAGAAACCCTTCTCCATTCAGGGTGCTGCAAAGCCACAGCACCAAGCCATGGAGGTGGGCGGCATATGGCCAGTGGATGGAACTACAAAGTGTCAGAGAGCTGGTGGAGAAAAAAGAGCTCAGGAAGGTGGCCCCAAGGATCTGCCTGTGACAGCCTGGTCTCAGCCCTGGGGGGGCCCAATCAGATACTAAGCCAGGGAGAGGCCAGGGGCCCAGTCCCAGGCTGAGCACTGGGTGGTACACACAAGTGGCCTGGAAGAAGCTGAACACCCACACCGGAAGCACAAGCAGGCAAGGAGCACCAGACTTCACTGCTACAACCTCAGCAGGTTCAGCACCCCCAAGAATACTTAAACACTGTGTTCCACACAAGCCAGCAAGAAACAACCTGTGGGGCCAGGGATGTAGCTCAGTGGTTCCGCCACCTGCCTGGAAAGCAAGGTAGAATTCAATCCCCTGTACCAAAAAAAAAACAAAATAGCCAGAGTCCAGGAAGCAATCCCAAATCACTTGGCACACACACGCAAAAAAAATCACAAGACATGCAACTTGTATGGGAAGAGACATCAACAGATGCCAAGGACAAGATCACATCAAGGTTGGGGTGATATGACAAGGATTTCAGAGCAGCCTTCCTAAAAATGCTCAAGAAAGCCAACTATGAACAGAGAACAAAAGATAAAATAGGAAAAAACATCGACAGAGAAACAGGAAAGATAGTAACAATCAGGTAGCAACTTTACACGGGCTCTAGGGGATGTCTCCATGAGTTGTAACAAATGTGCAGCCCTGGGGCAGAATCCTGACAACAAGGGAGGAGGCCTGAAGAGGAGGCAGGGAAATGTTGGTACTTTCAGGCTCAAATTTGCTGGGAACCTAAACCTACTCCGAAATTTGAGACTATTTGAAAGAACAAAAGCACTCACTGAAGCGGCCAGAGAAATGGAGTGCAGCCACATTGGAATTAAGAGTTCAGAGCTGCAGAGCTCACCTTTGGAGGCCTGGCCCGGCCAGCATGAGCACTGTGAAATGGGGTTAATACCACCGAGGGGGCTGTAGCAACAACTGGTCCATAAAGTACCTAGGATGGTGCTGGGCAAGGGTGATGTTATCCAGGGAAGGCAGGCCGTTCTCCATTCCTTTGGTCATCAAAAGCCAGAGCTGGGCCTCCTCCACCACTGCCCTCCCTGACAGCCTGAGGAAGGGCCAGAGTCTGTCAATGTGGGAGATGCCTGCCTAGCTGTCTCTGCCCAAGGCTCCCTAGAGAAACGACCTACCCAGGCCGCAGGAACTTCAAAGCCACTAGGGCAGAAAACCCACCATCCCCACACCAGCACCCCAGATTCTGCCCCAGGGCAAAAAGCATGCATGGCCCCTGTGGGGCGAGATGAGGACCCCCTCTTACCTTAACCAGATCCTGGTCATCCGGCGCACACAGCATCAGCTCGTGGCCTAGCTTCACCATCTCTGTCAGAGCACAAAGACCCTGTTACTGCAAATACCACCCAAACGGAGGAGAACCCCAGCCATGTGCAGGGTGCTGAGGGGCCCCGGCTGGTGCACACAGACGCAGGTGGAGTCATGCTCTGGTGCCTATTGCTGTGTGACCTGCATCCATCACTGCCCCTCTGCAGGCATTGGTTTCCTTGCTGGAAAACCACAGGTTGCCCACCATGCTCTTGCATACATGGGACTTCAACTCTGACTTCCCTTGGGGGTGCCAGCCTCTCAGCGATCTCCTACGGCTTTATTTTTTGCTTTTTTTTTTTTGCTTTTTTTGTTTTGTTTTGCTTTTTGTTTTTTGAGCACTGGAGATTGAATCCAGGCCCTTGACACTGAGCTACATCCCCAGCCCCCAGGCCTGCTTTTATTTTTTATTTTGAGATAAGATCTCACTAAGTCACTCAGTTGCCCAGGCTGGTCTCCAACTTCCCATCCTCCTGCCTCAGTCTCCCAAATATCTGGGACTACAGGTATGTGCCACTATGCCTGATTCCTTTGTCTAATTTTCATTACCAGGTTCAAGATAGTTTCTACCAAGAAATGATTTAAGCAAGAAAAAGAAAAAAGAAGAAAGTTGCAGGATGAACCCTGCAGAGAGCAGCCAAAGTTCTAGGAATGCCACAGGTAAGACAGTGCAGCTGGGAAACAGAACATGGTGACATCTGCAGGAATGGCCATCCCCACCCGCAGCACCACAGAGGACCTGCATGTTCTCGGTGCTTATGAGAGCTCCCCCAACTTGCAAACCTGGGAGGCCCTGACTCTGGAAGCATACAGGCACATGCACAGGGGTGGCCTACACAGGAGAAAGCACTGATGGAAAGCACACCCCAGCTTGGCAGAAATGCTGTGCCAGATCTCAGGACTGCCCGGAACGTATAGCCATACCTTGGATCTTTGCCTCCACCGGGGCCCCATTCAGTGAGCTGAACTTGTCTTGCATGGAGGGACAGACCCTGCAGGGAAACAGCAAAGCTCATGAGCTGAGGGGTCTGGAGAGCCTCCCACCACAACCTAGAGGGGCTTACTGTGCAGGTACTAAATTGCCACCAAATATCACTTTCAAATGGCTCATTTCGTGTCAGGTGCCTTTTATGTCTGACCATTATTTGGGAAAAATACTTCAGAAATGTGAATACTAAAAAGAAATACCTTCTCCCAAGAAAAAAGAAAGCTGAATGCTCACAAGGTAAAAGAACACTGCGTTTTCTGGAAGCGCTCAGGCCTGAGGAACTGGCCCCTGGTGCCCCTGGGCATGCTGTTCCCCAAGAGCAGACATCCAGTAGGGTGTCAGGAGCGCTCCCTTTGCCTCGTGTGCAGGCTTTGCTTCCTGCACACATATTCAGACAGGACACACACTCTACCACCCCGACCGGAAGCACTGGAAAACAGGGTCACAGCACAGGGGCTGACAACTGCTGCCACATGAGAGCCACCTGGTGAGCCAAGGGCCAAACTGGATCCCTACGGACTGCCCTCTGCCACAAGATCCAAGAGGCACACTTCACACTACAGCTGACCCTTGGCTCCCCGGTCCGAGAAACACTGAAATCAAACACTTTTCAGGTCCCTGCCAACCCTGAACCTCCAAACTTGTAGTTGCAGTGAGGAAGTCACACAAGCCCAGCCCAGTGTGCCAAGGTGGTAGGTGGACTAGCCCTGCATGGCTGGGCCAGCATCTCTGAGCAGCTGCTCTCCTGGGCCGCACGAGGCGGACCCCCGAGGGTGTTACCGTGTACACATCCACTCCAGGATCTCCAGGCGGTACTTCGAAGGCGTGCACAGCAGCTCATGAATCGTGTTTGGCTCTGTGATGTACAGACCCTCCAGCAAGGGACACTTCAGGTCCTAAGCAAAGAAAAGGAAAGGCCGAGGCTTAATTGGGAAGCCAGTCACTGGGGGCTGGCAATGGCATTCTGTTAGCGTGTAGGACCCCTGCCTACGCACACATTTGGTGCCAGCCAGAGCAGGGTGCCCACTACAGCATCCCTCTGGCTTTCCTTCCTTCTTGCCAAGCTGAGGTCCCTCATCCTCACCCCACACGCTCTGCAGCCTGCGGCCTCCCTGCCTTTAAGCGGACCCCTCCGGGCTCTGCTGGGTGGCAGCAGCGCCTTCGGGAGATTCAGACCCGGTCTCTAGGTGGAGCGGAAGGGGAAGGGGAGCAAGAGAGGTCTCTGCGCTTGTGGCTGCGGGGAAGAGGGAGGGCGTACGGGGAGGGGAGATGGCGCATGCCGCCTGCTGCAGGGCAAGAGCGAGCGGCCGGCACCCAGGACAGGGGCCGCGTGGCATCGCCGGTTTTCGCAGCGAGCCCGTGAGTGTCTCCGACAGGGCCCTGCCCGCTCCCCAGCCCTCTGGTTGAACTCCCTAAGCCCACGGCACCTTCAGCTTTCTGAACACCTCCAAGGCCGCTTTGAACACACGGCTGTCACCCTCATCTTCGCAATAATCGCCACCAAAGCCCGGAGCGAACGCTGCAGCCGCCTCGGCCATCTTTCCCGCTTGGAGCAGGGTTCCGCCCACCCGCGGTCTTCACTGGCCCATCTGCCAATCACACGCTAGCTCCGCGCTCTCTTGCGGCGGCGCGGCGGGCGGGACGGAGC